AACTCAAGTTTATATAGATCCTATATTTCTAAATATGACTTCTTAAATTTAGAAAACTATTTTCTCCTTCACATTTCTTAGGAAATCATTTACGTATTGCTTAGAAATTCTAAGGCTTAAATTTGTTTTCTTTTTTTAAATTGTGGTGATCTTAACAATTTGAACTGTTGATGGTTCATTAGGATAATTAGAAAAGTTAGGGGTTGTTAATGCTTATGGTGTATTTCTAAATAATCTGAATATAATTATGATTATACAAATTGTACGGAGCATTATTTAGACTGATTTGGGCTGCTGATGGTTCTTTATGTTGTATGGAGAAATGGGTTTGATGGTGATTATGTTGTAATTATTTTTACGGCTATTTCACCAAATGCCACTGAGTAATTTCGGAATTCACCAAATGCCATCGAACTTTTCAAAATTCACCAAATGCCACCGAGTTTTAGTATAATTCACCGAGTGACATTAATGACTGACAGTCGTTAGTTGACCCCACCACTTGCCACGTGTCACATTCTGATTGGTCCTTTTTTTAAAAAAAAAAATTAAAAAAAATAAAAACCAAAAAAAATTACAAAAAAAAAAAAAAAAACAAAAACCATTAAAACCACCCCAGCCACCACCTTGAAACCCTGCCCCTCCCCTTACCTTGCTGGAAAACGGCCGGCAACCTTTGTAACCAACAAAAATCGGCCGGCCGGCCCTTTAGCACCCCACCTGATCCACCGCCGACCCCCAAAACCACCCACACAGCCAGCCTCGACCCCAAAAACCGCCGCCGAGATCATTTCCTCCACCAATCTCGCACAATTCGCATCAATGGCCAGAGCGTGAACCAAATCTCAGCAATTTCAGGCTATTACCGGTGTTTACCTCGATTACCTCCGTTTCGTCACTATTACCGACGTTCCGTCACCGTCGGCTATTTATCCGGTAACCCCACTTCATTTTTCCGCATACCCATTTCCCATGTTTATCACTTTTTTGATTTAATTTTTCTGGGTTTTTTGTGATTTAGGGATTAAGCCTAGAATTAGTGATTTTTAAAGAAGGGTGGCTGGTGGGGCAGGTGGAGCTTGACGATGAGGGAATGGGGAAGAAAGGGCGAGGAAGGAGATGGGGTGCCGAGAAGGGGCGAGGGCAGCAGGGGGTGGCCGATTGTGGGTTATGGGCTAGTAGTGGGTCGTGTTGGTGGTGTGTTGAGGATGGGGGTCGCTGGTGATGGCGTTGAGGGGGGTGGTTGTTGTGGTGTTGGTCGGAAGTTATGGAGGAAAGGGAGGGTGGCTGTTTGGGGTGATTTTTTTTTTTATATTTATTTTTTTAAAAAACGGACCAATCAGAAGGTGACACGTGGCAAGTGGTGGGGTCAACTAACGGACAATGACGGTCAACTAACGGAAATGACATTTGGTGAAATTATACTAAAACTCGGTGGCATTTGGTGAATTTTGAAAAGTTCGATGGCATTTGGTGAATTTCGAAATTACTCAGTGGCATTTTTTTTTATTTTTTTATTTTTATCCCATGATTTTGCATATTCTATTATACACTGGGGTGGACCTAAAAAACGTACCCAAGGCAGTGTATGACTGCAAGTCGTACATAGCTTCCACTTGTGGGCGCGAATACACATTCCCTTGGTCAACATGCATGTTATGTTTATCAGAAGGTGACACGTGGCAAGTGGTGGGGTCAACTAACGGACAATGACGGTCAACTAGCGGAAATGGCATTTGGTGATATTATACTAAAACTCGGTGGCATTTGGTGAATTTTGAAAAGTTCGATGGCATTTGGTGAATTTCGAAATTACTCAGTGGCATTTTTTTATTTTTTTTTATTTTTATCCCATGATTTTGCATATTCTATTATACACTGGGGTGGACCTAAAAAACGTACCCAAGGCAGTGTGTGACTGCAAGTCGTACATAGCTTCCACTTGTGGGCGCGAATACACATTCCCTTGGTGAACATGCATGTTATGTTTATCAACTGTCAATATGCAAAATCATTGTCTTTTAGTGACATCGTATATGTGTGTATGCATTGGGACTATTAGCAGAAGGTGTTAAGTTGTAGACATGGAGTGATTAGTATAATTAGTCTTTAGAATAAGCTTGAGCTGTGAGTCATAGAAGGAAACTAGTAAATGCAAACCACTTTGTTTAGGAATGTACATTGTGGGAATGAAGGAATAGTGTCACGATTGCTAAACAATTTGGGAGTGAAAGGACAGATTGGTTAGGTGCCTTGTCACATTTGGTAGATAGTATATGAAATCAATAGTATTATCAGAATGAAAAAATAGAAATTGATAGCTTAATAGCTGGAAGAGTAAAGGAACAAACCTTCTTTAATACGTGTAATACTATAATAGCCTGCTCAATCGAACAATCGAATGATGTTAATGTGGATTGAATGGGTAGAAGAGTGGCTTTTCTTAGGGATGATACTCGTATTAAATTAGATTGTAGTCATGGTTCTAAGTTTCTAACAACTAAGTATGGATAAAATAGATTATAAATTTATCAATAATGTGGAAATTGAAACTTAGAGTACATTGTATTTTTACCCAACATTGAATGATGTACAAGAAATAAGAGGAGTGGAATTCAAAACTTGAAAGTAGAAAGTAAAAGCAGACATTTTGTAATATGTGTAGTACCTAATTGCAGGATGTGGTTGACTAAGGTCTAGATTTAGAACTTAGAAGGAAGGTAATGATGGTCAGATAAAATCTTTTAAAATATTAGCAACATGCTTGATCGGGTGGCACTTTTATGTAATGATCGTATGAATGGTTTAAGCAAGGCCCCAAGACCAAGGGATACCCTTGATTATGGTGTATGTTGCGCTAATGATAAGTTGCTAGTGTATTGGCTGGGCTGTTGCGAGTATCAGCCCACGAACCAAAATTGTAATTGCAGTCTTGGCTCTGCTCATTAATAAGAAACGTAGTTGCCCATGCTTTTGTTATGAAGGAGCTACTGCTATGTGTTATGTCAAACACTATTTGTTGCAAAGGGTGGGATGCCTACTTATGATGTGAAGGTGCTACTGCTACATGTTATGGCGAACACAGAAATGTTTGTTTGACTGAACTATAGGAAATTAGAAATGTATGTAGCATCTAGCATGTTTTGTAAGTGATGTGTGTGAGTGCATAGGTGTATAGTTGCATTAGATGGTTTTACTTTTTGTTTCATATTGCTTACTCGTTAATGCACTTGTCTATTAATATCTATAGGGATGAACTGTTAGGTAGACAGTGCGTATGGTGATTACAATTCTGCTTCCAGTGAGAAACACTAACTATATTTCACCATTGGATATCGATATTTGCCTGTGGGGTGTGGCAAAGAATAGATATCCTGTAACATACAAGGAGGACGACCTGAAATGTTGGGGGTAGGATATTTTTTTTTAATGAAGAGCCAAAGATAATACCACATTTTGTGGAGTTTAAGTGACAGGTTAAAAGTGAGATACTGTAGTCACATTTCACTTTCTTACTTATCAAAGGTACTTTCAAAAATCAATTGTCATCTCTTATTAGCGAAAGCACGCCATTTCCATATGATACTCTGTAGTTAAGTGAAATTTTTTCCAGGCATTTTAGAGCATTGCATATATGATATATATGCAATTATTTTTATGAAGAGCCAAAGATAATCCCATACCCTTACATGTTTCACATACCCATGGTAGGCCCTATCGCCCTACGAATTGTAGGCCAGCCAAGCAGTGTAGGGAGTATACGTTTATAAACTAGGTAGTGTGTGTCAAGACTCAAGAAGTCAAGAGTGTTACTAGAAGATGATGTGAAAAAACTATAAACTAGTTAATTACTTTTTATAGTTTAATCGAGTGCCTGTTATATCGCTTATATGTGAGTCATTTAGCCATACTTGGTAAGATCTTTAGAAGTTTATTCCTATCTTTCAGGGGAGTAGATAGAATGGATTACATCAGTAGACTTTGTACGCGCAAATGATTGATCAATCATAATCATAGCCAAACTTTGGATACTTCCATACTGTCCCACAATTTCAATACCGTGTTGATTGCTGGAAGGGGTCTTCCACTTCTAAGATGACTTAAGGGGAAAGTTTTCTTACCATTTCATAATATAACTAATAAAGTTTTTTGCCTGTTTACATATTCTTAATTATGTAGTATTTTTTTTTTTTTTTGGTGTCAGAGAGCTACAGGCCTATAAGGGTATGTGATGAGAATCGATCCTAGATCTCTTAAAATTGAGAGGGAAACTCTAATCCCTTGAGCTATCCCTCACTCATATAATATAAGTAGTAATAGTTTTGTTGTTCTTTAACACATTAATTTCACTGTCGAACAGTGTATTAAATTATAATTATGAAGAAACACTACTGTGTCGGAACCAAAGCAAAATGGGAGAAAAAACAGTAGAAAATCCCATTGACAGGTCATATAATGGATTAGTTGGAAAATTCAAGACATCAAAATCAAGTCGAACCAATTTATGGGGTGAAGTGGCGTGAGAAAAAGGCTATATTAGTTCTATTAATAGTCAATATTTATCTGGAAGTTTAAGGGAACTCGAAGCACATAATATTCTATCCTATAATCTATAATAATAATAATACTCTGTTTATTTCATATTATTTGTGACATAAAATATCAATGCACAAAGTATTTGTTAAAACATCAACGCATATTTACTTCTCAATATAAAATTTTAATATAAATTGTATGATCAATTACTTCTACTCTATAATAACTTAATATGAAATGGAGGGATCCAAGGGAGTGACTAGTCGCATAATTATACTTAGACATTATTCAACTATATCATATCTTTAATTACGATAATTATAAAAACTCGGACAATTATTTTGGAACGGTTGGAATACTCTTATAAGTTCCCACTTGGACCAGTTTGGTCCCATCCTTTTCTTCTTTGCTGCTAGTTTCCATAATTGACAAGTAATCATACTCGTCCTATATATATTCTACAATGTGAAAATAGGACCTTTAAGGTACATAAGTTTGGCACCATCTCAAGTCTGGCTTGAAGTTGAAAGACCAAGTCCTAATTCGATCTAGCCTAGCTTGTCCACTCCTGTGAGCCTCTGCGAATGGTTTTGTGCTTTTGTTCCTTTCTTTGTGTTCAGTTCCTATTTACCATCCTATATATGGCATATGCGTGCAACATTTCATGATAAATAATAAAGCCATGAATTTCTGTATGTAAAGTGTATACTACAATTTGCCATTTTTAAGTCCATGAAACACATTTCCATTAGAAATATGGCTTCCTGCTGTTTCTTTCTAGCCTTCTGCTTCTTAGCCATTCCACTGTCAAATGGTAAGAATACAAGCTATGACGCGTGCTCTAAACTATACTCATGCGGGAAGATCCAAAATATAGGGTATCCGTTCTGGGGAGGTGATAGGCCCCGGTTCTGTGGGATGCCGGACTTCGGGCTCACTTGTAATGTGACTAATCAGTACACTACTATGAACTTTTTTAAATTCGCATACTATGTATTAAGAGTGCTTGGCATTGATGCATCTTCCCACACCATGACTGTTTCTCCAAGTGTCCTGTTTGAACATTGTTATTTGCGAGATACAAGTCAAATAGCCTTGCTTCCCACTTTGAAGCCCGACGCCAGTTATACGAATATAAGTTTATCCTATGGTTGTGCCAATATTGATGTCTCTCGATATCACAGCAAGTCTTTTAACTGCTCCAATGATGATGGTTCAAAAGGTCTTGCTTATTGGTTTAATGAATCATCACACAACAGTAGGATAGGTAAGCCGTTTCCATGCAGTAACACTGTCAAGTTTCTGGTGGATAAGAGTGCGTTAGATGAACTCAAAAGCACAAAAGCCTCACTTCTGAATATCTTAAAGAAGGTGCAAATTAAGACGAAATACTTGGTGAGCTTCACAGCTTGTTCCAAGTGCGAAGAGTCTGGTGGCAGATGCGGATCATCAAAAAATCTATCTGAGGATAAGTTTGTGTGTTATTGCCGAGATGGACATCATCAGTCACTCGTGTGTCCGAAATCAGGTACTTCGTATTTAAGTATAATAGTCCTCTTGAAAACACATCCCCTACCCTGAATTTTTATCATTTTGTATTTCAAGTATATTAGTCCTCTCTTGAAAAAACATCCCCTGCCCTGAATATTAATCATCGCGGTTTATTTATAAATCTTTGCATTAATCTGCCAGGGCTTCGTATTTATCATTATTAAAGCTTGTGATAGAATATAAAAACCAATTTCAGGGCTTCAACCATAAGCACTGTTCTCTCCTGAGTTCCTTTGGTCTGTTTTAACGGCAATAAGCATATATATGTAGCAAAACTGACCATTCTTTATCGTTGCAGTAAAGTTAAAGTTGGGACAGATTCTGGGACTAGGTAATTATCATTTTCTTATTTATCCAAGTCCATCTTGTTGAATTACTTGCATTACATTTTAAGAATTTAATTAAATTGGCCTGCAAATTATTTCTCACATGACCTTGATTGATATCAGGCATTGGAGGAGCTTTGCTTGTGTTGATAGCAATCATAGGTTTCTGGCACCGTAAGAAGCTCAAATGTGTAACTCAGAGTGATTCCCTTGACTGTAGTGCATCAGAACTTGAAAAGGGAAGCATATACTTTGGTGTATCACTCTTCTCTTACAGTGAGCTTGTAGAAGCCACTGCTAATTTTGATCATTCTAAAGAACTTGGCCGCGGTGGCTTTGGAATAGTTTATTATGGTAAGCTTGACCTTGCATAAATCTCTTCAATTCTAAACAAGACATCTCCATACTCTAATTAATCAACTGATCAAAAGTTTTGCATTTTAGGGAAACTAAAAGATGGGAGGGAAGTTGCTGTTAAACGTCTTTATGAGAAGAGCTACAGAAGGCAGGAGCAGTTTATGAACGAAATTCAAATACTGACCCTTTTGAGACACCAAAACCTTGTGTCACTCTATGGCTGCACTTCCCTGCATTGCAGAGAACTACTACTTGTTTACGAGTATGTGAAAAATGGCACCGTAGCTGATCACCTGTATGGTAGTAACACAAAATCAGGATATCTTCCATGGCCTGTTCGGCTGAGAATTGGAATAGAAACAGCCGCTGCGCTCTCTTACCTCCATGCTTCTGATATCATACACCGTGATGTCAAAACTAACAACATTCTCCTTGACTGCAACTTCAGTGTCAAAGTTGCTGATTTTGGGCTTTGTAGAGACTTCCCAACCGATGTAACTCATGTGTCAACAGCTCCACAGGGGACTCCTGGGTATCTAGACCCTGAGTATCACCAGTGTTATAAGCTGACAGATAAAAGTGATGTTTACAGCTTTGGAGTAGTCCTCATTGAGCTCATTTCCTCTTTGTCTGCAATAGACATGGATAGGCCTACACATGAGATAAACTTGTTCAACTATGCAATGAACAGGATTCAACGTTGTGCATTTGATGAGTTAGTGGATCCACAACTTGGGTTCGCGCTAGATTTCAAGGTTAGGAGAATGACTGTATCGGTGGCAGAGCTTGCGTTCCAGTGCCTGCAACATGACAAGGAACTCAGGCCGTCAATGGACGAGGTTTTAGAGGTTCTCAAGAGCATTGAAGGCACTGATTATGAAGCACTGCAGGCAGAAGAAATGGCGAAAAATGTTGGGTTCGTGGATGATGAAGCATTGCTAGCTGAAGAGATGGCTGATATTGCTAATGTAGAAGTTTATGATGTGTCGAAGGCGGAAGGGAAGGCTAAGAATGCTGCGGTAGAGGTGCTGAAAATGCATACTAGTGATCCACGACCTTCAGCCGTAGAGGATGATCATGCACAGCTGTTGAATAATTATCATCGGCCATATTCTTCTTCCCCGATTTCTGTGATGGTTAAATGGGTTGGTAGTTCCACTACATCTAGCTCCAGCAAGTAAGCTCAACAGTTTGTTTCCTTTCCTCTGAATACATCAAGCAACTATTGTGATGGTTGTAAATTGATGGAATTGTTTCTATGCAACTCTGGTAGTCTGGTAGACTATATACATACAAGTTTTGATTAGCAGGGAATGTTGTACAAATCGAGCTTATTTTGTTTCAGTTTTACTTGAATTACATAGAATTTGATTCAATTTCAAGTTATATTCTCTTACATACGTATTGTTCCCCCCATCTTCAAATAAAAGTCTCATTACTTAAAACTATAACAATCTCATATCACTTTTATTTATTTGTTTTTATTCATTTCTAATTAGTTAATCTATACCATTTTTTTTTCCTTTTTATATTCACCTTTAATCAACCAAACTCCACTATCTTATTTTTATATTTACGTAGTACTTTTAATCGACTAAACTCCATATTCGAGTTAGACCTCATATAACCTCAAACAAAACACATCATCACATATATCAGTCACATACGAGGAATATCTTGTTTGAGGTCGGTTTGAGTCGGGTTGATTCACACAATAGTCCATTCAGGTCCGTATAATATGCATTTCCAGCTCCATCAGTTTGCAAAAGAAACTACGAAAAGACAAGGCCTGAAATATAACCAAAAGTCCAGTCTCACTCTCTTCCTTCACACTCTCTCTGCCGCCGTCGCTCAGTCGTCCGGAACCACCGTCCGGAGCCGGAGATTGTAGTTTATTTGTCTTCAAAGTGGGTTCTATGATTATGTGTACAAGAACCCATTTCAGGGGATATTTTACAAGAATAGCCAATTCTACTGCTGATTTGCTCGAATCTCCAGTTATAAAAACGCAAATTAATCCATCATTACAATCGAAGAAGTTTCCAGATGTGTTAGAATGTAATTTCCAGATAAAAGAATTAGTGAAAACTGGTCGTTTGGAAGATGCACGCAAACTGTTCGACGAAATGCCGCAAAGAGATGTGGTTTCTTGGACCAATGTGATATCTGGGTATGTCAATGCTTCGAACTATGACGAGGGTTTGAATTTTTTTTTCCAGAATGTGGGTTGACCCGTGTATTAGAATGGACCCCTTTGTACTTACTTTAGCTCTGAAAGCTTGTGGACTTAATAATAGTTTAACTAATGGGAGATTGTTGCATGGGGTTTGTGTTAAGAATGGTCTTGTTAATTCTGTGTTTGTGGGGAGTTCACTTCTGGACATGTATGCTAAGTCTGGCTATATTTCAGAGAGTTGTCGGGTTTTTGATGAGATGCCGGAGAAGAATGTGGTTTCATGGACTGCTATTATTACAGGACTGGTTAAGGCTGGTTATTGTAAGGAGGGGTTGCTGTATTTTTCTGAAATGTGGCGCTCCGGTTTACACTGTGATGCATATAGTTTTGCCATTGCATTGAAGGCTTGTGCTGATATATGTGATCTGGAACATGGCAAGGAACTCCATACACAGGCATTAAAGAAGGGTTTTGATTTAGGCTCTTATGTGGTGAATACTCTTGCTACAATGTACAATAAATGTGGGAAGTTGGATTATGGTATGTGCTTGTTTGAAAGAATGAGTATCCCTGATGTGGTTGGATGGACCTCATGATCCGGAATTAATCCATGATCCGGAACTCATACAAGCCAATGAACCTAACAATTCAAAAGGGCCAAACACACGTTCAAGGGTCCAAAAAGATCAAGTTCCTATTGTCCATGGGTTGTTCGTTCATGGGTCCAAGTTAGACAAAGTGCAACGCTTGGGCTTTGATGTTGCTTCGTCATTATACAAGTCATGCTTGACTTGGATAGATGACTAGGCGTAGAAGGTGTTTACTTGGATGCCTTGGATTCTTTCTTTGCTTTGGGGAAAGGATCTTCTTGGATACTTGCTGTTTAGGAGGCAGCCAAAGCAAGGGAATAAAGAGGAGGTTACGCTCGGTTTTGATAGGGCATTTAAGAGGGATGTTACACACCCTTTTGGATGCCACTCTTGGAGCTTAAAACTCCTTAGTTTTATTGCTTGTTATTACTAGTTAATTATATGTTTAATTTTCAGTTGCTAGGAGTAATTAGCTAAATTTATAGTTGTTGTAATAAGGCTGTAACAGTCAGCCGTTAAAATTCAGAACTCGGACGCAGCTGCAGCGAGTTCCTTCAGGAACTCACCTAAAGGAACTTCGGTAGTTACTAGTCTTTATCATGTAACGATTTTCCAAGGGAAACGTTACACAGGAGTGCTGAGTATCCCTGGTGACTTTTGAGTTCTTTGTTGGAGACTTTTAAAGTTCCTTTTTAATTATGTTAGTTAATGGTTAATTAATGTAACTAGCTACTTCCTTAGCCTATAAAAGGAAGTTTTATTCTAGGTTGTAATTCATTCATCTATCAAACATTTTAATGAAATACAACAATTCAAGATATTTTATGTCTTATTTGTTTTAAGCTTGTGGATTCAAGTTTAGCTTGAACTCGTGGATTCGAGTTTGTGAGTTTAATCCGGAGTGTTCGGGATTAGCTTGTCTATGGTTAGTAGAGTGAGTGTTCAACTCTAACCATACTTATCCTTGATTAGTACTGCGAGTGTTCCTTGCTAATCAACCCTCGAGTTCCTCGCTGTCAGGAACTTCGATCTTTCCTTACCCTGTTCCCACAGAAACACCTAGCCTAAACACATAACCCATCACCCCAAAACCTTAATCCATATCCGTTTCCGCATCAGTTGGTATCAGAGCTACGGTTTCAGCCAAGGTGTGACCATGACAGGTTCCAACCAGAACCAGAGTGAGTTCCTACGTGAAATGGAACAACGACTTATGAGTGCAATGCAAACCATGCAGGAGGGGCTGCGTGAGGAGATACGTGATGTACGCACTCAAATAAGTGTGATAGGTGATGCTACCAACCAACATAATTGCAGGTTGACCGAGTTGGAAGATGAAGAAACCACGCCCAAAAGTGGGTACAACCGGTTCCCTCCAGATAGGGAAGATAGAACCCTGAAACTAGACATTCCTGAATTTGATGGTTCTAGTGACCCGGAAGTTTTCAATGATTGAGTTCGAAGGATTGAGTCAATCTTTGAATACAAAGAATATGATGATGAGAAGTGTTGTAAACTAGCAACACTCAAGCTCACTAAGTTAGCTGGATTGTGGTATGAAAACCTCAAATCCAAGAGGAGACGTACTGGAAAAGAGAAAATTAGTTCTTGGGCAGTCTTGAAAAGAAAAATGATGCAACGTTGGATTCCTCGGGAATACGTGCAAGATCAATATGTCAAACTCACTCGCCTCAATCAAGGTGACTTGATTGTTGATGAATACGTGAAGGAGTTTGAAAGACTTAGTCTCTTGTGTGATTTGGAAGAAACGGAACCATTGAAGATGGCTCGTTTTACTAGAGGCCTTACGAAAGTCATAGCCAACAAAGTAGACCTCTTACCCTACACTACTTACGATGATGTGGTGAAGGCAGCTCGTAAGGTAGAGGCACAGCAGAAAGATAGTCAAGTAAAGAACACATCCCGTGTTCCTTACAAAGCTTACACGCCTAGAAACCGTTCCGACAAGGGGAAAGCTCCTATGTTCCCAAAGAAACCCGAAAACAAGGCAGATGATAGAGGGGAACGCACTTGTTTCAAGTGTGGATGGAAGGGACATATTGCAACCAATTGTCCTAAAAGGAACACCCTAGCCATTCATGAAGGTGGCTATGTGACGAATGAGGATGAAGAGAATAACAGTGAATGTGATGAATGTGCGCCTGAATAAAACGAAAATTCTTTTTGTGGTGTAGTAAGAAGGATCCTGTACACTGAACCAGTACAAGATATGCAACAACGGGAAAATCTGTTCAACACCCGTTGTAAGGTGAAAGATCGCATTTGTAGCATGATTATTGATAGTGGGTCATGTACGGATGTGGTTGCTTCCGAGTTGGTGAACAAACTCAAGCTTCCTACTAGAGATCATGCCAAGCCATACAAACTCAATTGGCTTGACAATGATTCCGGTGTACGTGTGAGAAAGCAAGCCTTAGTAGCTTTTGCCGTGGGAAATTTTTGTGATGAACGTTGGTGTGATGTGTTACTATGACGGCATGCCAAATACTCTTAGGCCGTCCATGGCAGTTTGATCGTAAGGCTATACACGATGGTGTAACAAATGTGTATACGGTCAAAACTAACGAAGGCAAGAAAATCAGGCTACTACCTTTACCCCCTAAGGTAGAGAAAGCTAGAGAAGAAAAGCCTAATTTCCTTATTACTATGGCCGAATTTGATGAATTATATGAGCAAGAAGGAATTGCTTTCATGTTGGTAGTGAAATCAAGTTCCAACGGCATGGAGGAAGGAACTTACCCTCCTGCCATACAGTCCCTGTTGAAGGAATTTCGGGACGTGTTCCCTGAGGAACTCCCTGATGAGTTACCACCCTTAAGAGGCATTGAACATGCCATTGATTTAGTACCAGGGGCGGCTTTGCCCAACAAGGCGGCTTATCGTTGCAATCCCGAGCAAGCAAAGGAATTGCAAAGACAAGTAGATGAGCTTGTGGCTAAGGGTTTCGTGCGTGAGTCCTTAAGTCCGTGTGCAGTTCCGGCATTATTGGTGCCAAAGAAGGAAGGAACTTGGAGAATGTGTATTGATAGTCGAGCCATCAACAATATCACTATCAAGTACAGATTTCCCATGCCTCGATTGCAAGACATGTTGGATGAATTGAGTGGTTCCAAGGTGTTTAGCAAGATTGATTTGCGAAGTGGCTATCACCAAATGAGAATTCGAGAAGGTGACGAGTGGAAGACTGCTTTCAAGACTAAGAAAGGGCTCTATGAATGGTTGGTCATGCCCTTTGGTTTGTGCAACGCTCCTAGCTCGTTCATGCGTCTAATGAATGAGGTATTACGACCCTTTTTGAATAACTTCATTGTTGTGTATTTAGATGATATTCTAGTATATAGCAAAGATGAAAATGAGCATGTAGGCCATCTTAGATTATTGTTTACTACTTTACGTAGACATAAATTGTATGGCAAATTAGAGAAGTGTGATTTCTTCTGTAATAGTATTACTTTCCTAGGCTATATTGTATCTAGTGAAGGTATACAGGTTGATCTCGACAAAGTGAAAGCCATTTCCACATGGGAGGTGCCACGGAGTCTCCATGAAGTCCGAAGCTTTCATGGGTTAGCCTCATTCTACAGAGTCTTCATCAAAAAAATTTCCACCATTACTGCTCCCTTGACTGAATTGCTTAAGGACAAGGTGTTCAAATGAACGAGTCTGCGCAAAGGGCCTTTGAAGAAATTAAAGCTAAACTATGTTCTGCTCCAGTATTGGCTTTGCCTGATTTTGATAAGTTGTTTGAGGTTGAATGTGATGCAAGTGGCGTGGGGATAGGTGTCGTTTTGGTGCAAGATAAAAGACCTATTTCCTATTTCAGTGAGAAGTTGAACGGTGCCAAGTTGAACTATTCTACCTATGATCGGGAGTTCTATGCCATAGTACGTGCTCTTGATCATTGGTCCCATTATTTGAGGCCAAAACCGTTCGTCCTCCATTCGGATCATGAGGCCTTAAAATTTATCAATGGCCAACAAAAACTTAATTCACGCCATGCTAAGTGGGTTGAGTTTTTACAGTCATTCACTTTCAGTTCCAAGTACAAAGAAGGAAAGAAGAATGTTGTTGCCGATGCTCTGTCAAGAAGAAGCTTTTTATTGTCCATAGCTTAAACACAGATTTTGGGTTTTGAACAATTGAAAAGTTTATATGCTGATGATGATGATTTTTCTAACCTGTTTAACAATCCTTCTAAAGATTTTGTGATACAGGATGGATATTTGTTCAAAGGCAACAAGCTTTGCGTGCCTAGATGCGGGGTGCGTGAACTCTTGGTGCGTGAGGTCTATAGTGGCGGTTTGGCTGGTCACTTTGGTGTTCATAAGACGGTGGAGATCCTTCAAGAACACTTCTATTGGCCTCACATGACTAGAGACGTGAGCCATGTGATAGAACGTTGTGCAACATGCCAAAGGTCCAAAAGTACTTTTCACAAAGGTCTTTACGTTCCTTTACCCGTCCCTAGTGTTCCATGGGAAGCTGTGAGCATGGATTTCGTGGTGGGTTTGCCTAGAACCCAAAGGAGCAATGATAGTATCATGGTAGTGGTGGACCGTTTCTCAAAAATGGCTCATTTCATTCCATGTCACAAGACCGATGATGCTTCGAAGGTGGCCGATTTGTATTTCAAAGAGGTGGTACGTTTACATGGCGTACCAAAGTCCATTGTTTCGGACCGTGACACTAAGTTCCTTAGCCATTTCTGGAGAATGTTGTGGAAACTTGTGGGAACTAAACTCTTGTTTAGTACTTCACACCATCCTCAAACGGATGGGCAAACCGAAGTTACAAATCGAACCATGGGTGTACTTTTGCGAGGACTTGTGAGCAAGACACAGAAAGATTGGGACTTGAAGCTAGCTCATGCTGAGTTCGCTTACAATAGGACTCCTTCTTACACTACGGGCCAAAGTCCATTTGAGATAGTCTATGGTCTAAATCCGATGTTACCATTGGAACTCATTCCTTTACCT